ACCCTTGGGTTTTCCTCCATGGCTAAGCCAAAGGAAATATGGACAAGCGCCCATTGCAAAAACCGTAGTATCGATGGGCAACCAGGTTCGGGAAGGGGAACCCCCAAAGGTGGGCACCCTGAGCGTGGGGGACATACGCAACCTCTGGCCATGTCTCCCCAACCTCAAGAATCACGAACAATTGGATATTAATCTTGTTTTCACCAGCAGAGTACTTACCCGCTTCTCGTACAGAGTGTGCCCAGACGGGACGTTGGTGTCCCGGGAGGTACCGAGATTTACAGACATCGACAAAACCGTCTCATTTGTGAGGCAAAGGAATCAGATGCGTTGGGCGGTATTCTTTGACCGCGAATTATTTTCGTACGAGGTCATCTTCGATAACGCGTCGATTATTGCCTGGGTTTACACAGACGAGACTACTCATTAATTGGGGCCACGAAGTAAGAATATTTGATACCCCAATTAACGATCGAAATATATCTACCCCGTGGGATGAAGATGGGGGATTCCTTTGCTTCCGCTACCACTGGGTGAGGACGGGCTTTGCCAACTGTCCCGTCTGTAGTTGCCCAATCCGATATAATATAGGGTATCACACGATTACATGACCCAGGCATGGAAATACCAAGCTATCCCGCAATCCCTTGAGGCACATGGTATTAGGATAATTGTGGAAGACGAAGGATCTCTGTCATGGGATCGTCGTTGGGATCGTCGTGTATCTATGGAGGCGCGTATAAGGAGACAGGCGAGAACTTCTAATGTTGCGAAAAACGTCGCTAACAACGATCAGCAGGAGCGAAGATGGGAAGCCAACTTTGCCACAATGGCGGCTGCTGGCGCAATATTTGGCAACAGTCAGCAAGGAAACCTTCCAGCTTGGAACCCAGCGAACGCCGAGGCTCAGCCTCTGGCGCGACATGCTCCTTTCTTTGAATACTTAAGGCCTCTGGTCAAGAGATTTATATCGTGGCTAGAATATTCGGCCACAAATGTACACAGACGAACCCCGGCGATTAACAAATGGTGGCCAAAATTGTGGGCGACTGGTTTTGACCAGTGCGCTCGCCCCAGATCCTGCCCAGCACTGCAAGCATTTCGTTGGTCTGATGAGCCTGACGACTTGATTACACCTAGGATTGGCTGGGCACAATGGTTCAACAACATGAGGAGAGGAAACCTCTTTGTACCTACACTTGCCACAGTAGACGATGCCATAAATTTTGACATGTCATGGTTTGGCGCTATTCCTGAATATACTGGAAACAACGACGACAATGCCAACCCTCCTGCGAGGTTACCGGTCGCCTGGGAGAACAACTTTAGAGCGCGACCGATTCGCAGTTCACACTCCGTTGCAAGACGGGTAGGCATGTGTCGAGACCATCGTCTTATAGTTCCAGTGTCGCGACATGCCTCCGGCTCAGCCGCGAAGACACGGGAACAGACACAAATGGATCTGGACCTCAAAGCAATCAGCGGGCCTAAGGCCGCGTCGATAACTGATGGGCTCCTTACACTTGACGGACCCGATGGACACGTGTACTTTCATCATGAGGACCGCCTGATGACAATAAGATTGTTCGGGAACGAACTTCGTGAGGTTGCCGCTCATTACATAATTTAACACACGGGAACAAACCCCACTACGCCCGGCAGGGTCACCCTGACTGGAACGGAGGACTATGTGATCCTGGCGATCATCAGGAAAATAGTGGATGACAATTGGTTGGTAACAACACAAAACATGGAACTGGGCCTTCGACCCGTAAGGATTTTCGCAATTATTCGTGAGATAATCTGCTATTTTATATCAGAGGACCACTTTATTGGTTACCCGGGGCGAATCATTCGCCCCGAAATGGTGAGCACAGACGAGATCGAGTCAAAGAGACGAACCGACGCATATGCCTTGGATTGCCGTATTCGTGCGGTTGTTGGGACGGATGACATCATAGAAACATGGGCCCGCAAAGTGGGCCGGAAAGTACAGAATGACGTCCGTCGCCACGGTGCTGTAATACAAGAGGCCATAACTTGGCTACAGGATAAGTATCCTGACCCCGGTACCGATCTGCAGGACAAGGAAGATTGTCTTTTCCGCACTGCTAGCGGTCTATATGGTGTCGCCGCAGCAGTTGCTGCCATACGTAAACTGCAGCTTATGAGCAGCAGGGACAATGACCCTGAACACGACGGCGAAGCCGAGATCGTGGGGCCACGTGTGCCTGCCGGACCAAAGGCAACACCTTTGTCTCGCACGCGTTCTCTTCGACCTGGCATCTCAGATGCTCAGGCGTCTGAGGAGGCTATCGGTTCCCCACGTTCTGTCGCCGGCTCAGCCGTGCCGACCAGAGACGCTGACTTTCAAGATCCCGACCCGAGGGATCGGTCGGATTTCCAACGCGCGCGCGATGCAGCCATGGATGATGCCACTGCCGCGGCCGCCGATGATGCCGCTAGCCTTGCGCTGCCCGCGGCGGCGGACGCTGCCGCAGGCGCTGCCTCAGATGCTGCCAGCAGCGCCGCAGGATACCGCCCCACATACGACCCCAACCAGTCCTACCCGACCCACGTGAATGGAATCCTCGTCGGATACCACCTCCATCGGGACAGGATCACGCGGCTCAATGACGACGATTGGTGCAATTTGCCTTACTGGACACGGCTGTCGAAGTGGGAGCATAATCATCATTTTCCGCCGAGAGAGGCGGCACACGTTGGAAATAACGACAGAGAGAGAGGGCGCTCTCGCACGCCACGTGGCACGGACGGACAGACGGGAGGATCGGCGACTTCAAACCCGCCGCCTCCGGCGCCGCCAAGGCGAGAGAGTTCGTCGAATCCGTGGGGGGGCCTCAACTGCGCGCGGCCCGCGCGACCCCGTCCGCGGCATGCGCACGCCAAATACTTTACCACACGCTAAGCGTGCTGGGCGCGGACATCTCTACTGGTCGGCTAAGGCGGTCCAGCGGAGAGAAACTATTTATATCTATGGTGGGAAACGTCGAGCCTCTTCGGCCCTTGGCCCCCTGGCAGCCACCGTTGAGCCGTAAAAGCTTTTTGGGGTTGGCTCCGGTGGTTGGACATATGTACAGGCTGGGGGCGTTGTGGCTGGATGGGCTCTACGCGGCCCGCCGCGGGGGGGGGGTAAATATGCTCCTCTCCGCCGCGTCAATTAGAAGATAACTTAGATTGCATGCAACGAACTGTCCGCGTGTACGGACGCTGCGTTTCTGCAGCTGTGTTACTGCTCAAACCAGACGACCTCGGCTGGCAGGAGAGAAAAGGAGCGCGATGGGGCGCGCGGGCGATTCGTCGTCGTCCGTCCTCGGCCTTCCTCGTCCCTTCCTATTCCTGATTCGTGTTTTAGCTTAACGGATATCTGTCTTATCAATGTCTCATCCCGCCTCCGCCCTCCCTGAGCAGAGTGAACATGAGATCTTACTTCTTTTGTCATATCACCCCGATTCTCATAGGGAAGACTAGAATGCAAGTTTGCAGTCTTGCTGCGCCCCCAATAACCCGAACCATAAGGAGGAGGGATTGGCTAGTAGGTCGAATACTCCACACATTCAGAATGTAAGGTTGAACGCTTGCCTTGCCCCCAGCTCCCGCGGAGGAGGGATAGGATAGTGGCACGAAGGACGGTCACATCAATACATTTGCATGAACGTCTCGCCCCCAGAGCCTCGTGGATGAGGGGGAAAGCTCGTGGGCCGAAGGACGGGCACATCAAGAATGTCCAGCTCACACGTTGGCCTCGCATCGCCGAATTCTCGTTGCGGGGTGTGTCAACAGACGAACACATGAATACTGCAAGGTTGCATTTTTTGCTTCGCCCACCCCACCCCAAATAGGAGGAGGGATCGGGTAGCGGGCTCAGAGGCTCTCCACAGACTGCTAAAACCCATTCGAAGATGGGCCCCCCCATCCCCCTATCCCTCCTCGTCTTGCGCCTCCTCGTCGCCCTCTTCCTCCTTCCCTGCTGCTTCTCTTTCTCCTCCTCCTGCTGCTGCAGGGGATTGCCCACCATTGTGTCTCTGGCCATGCAGGCTCCAAGGACCCCGCGAGAAAGCTCATGGAATCCCAAAGACGTTCCGAGGAGGTCCCCAGAAGGGTCCAACAGGCCCCGAGATACCGCCACGAGGACTTCCCATATGCTCGAAAAGACCCCCAAGGTGCCCCCCACTTGCCCTTGCCAAACTCCCCAGAGACCGTCAGGAAGCCACACATTCGTTACGAAATCCAGGGGTGCATCGTCCGGATAATTTCCTCTGACGCGTCCCGAGCATGTTCGAGCCCTCCTGCCCAGAAAAACGGAGTGACACTCAATCCGCTTGCGGGGCATGGCTTGTCGCAGGGGTCGCCGCAGCGACACGCTAAGCAACAGTTTCTGGCCGCAGGCAGGCACGGGGACCGATGATGCTTATGACGATGGTGATGATGGTGATGGTGGTGATGCTGATGTTGATGCTGATGCGGATGCTGATGCTGATGCTGGTGATGATGCTGGTGATGCTGACGATGGTGATGGTGATGATGAGACGGACGAGGATGAGGATGCTGATGTCGGTCATGATGTTACGCGATATTGACGTTGTGTCATGGCTGGCAGCACTGAAACAAGGATGTTCACCCTATTGTTGTTGTTGATGCTGACTGGTAGTTAATATGATATTGGTGGCTTTTATGATAACGAAGAGTATGATGATGAGGAGTATGAGGATGTAGTCTGGAATCGGGAGGAGGGTGAGGATGGGTACGACTATGCCACGCGCGTGTGCTTAATATCGCTTTGCAAGATATTCCAGCGCCCCCCAGCCTGAGCCAGAACCTGAGCGCGCACGAAACGCGCGCGATGGTTCTTGTATGTATGTGTAGATGTCTATACATGTATATATGTATTTATAGGTGTTTAGATGAGTGCTTGTATTTAGACATACGCTCATACCCAGGTGTATGTATAGTCATTTTAAACACATAACTATATGTATAGTTACTGACTCAAGGTGGCATGGTAGGTCTGAACGTTTCCGCCCAGCCCCACGACGTCGCACAGGACTGCAGAGATGTGTGCCTCATAGTGGTTGGGTGCGGGCGTGACGCGAGGGAACTTGCCCGTCGTCGTTGCGCTGCGCATGGCAGGCTGTTAGTACTTTGGACAGGGACGCCTCCCGCTGGCAGTTACCAACCATCCAAATTCACGTGGTGTCCACCGCCAACTTCTTTGTCCGAGCCGTGGACCTCTCGCATCGTCTCCTGCACGCCGCGAGCTGACATATTGCGAGAGGTCGTCTATGACTGCGCTGGGGAAAGGCCGCGAAAATGGTGCAAACGTGGAGCTGACGTTGTGCTTTTAGATAAAACTCACACCTATCAGATTGCCGAAGCCAACGGCGAGAATTCGCTTAGTGGGCTTCGTGTACTCCAGGGGGGCAAGGTGATCTGGGAGATCACAGGTTGTGTAACGATTGTCGGTCCTGGCTGCGATGTTGAGCGCGTTCCTGTAGGAGTACAGAACCAATATGCAATGCCAATCCCACTGCACACGAACACGGGCATCGTATGCTGGACGTTGTATTTTGCCATAGTTTGTATCCTTGCACTGCATGCGGAGTCCAGCGATTTCAATACTTACAGGGGGCTTCCTTTCTGGAGATCGCCTTTATGGGTTGGCTATGGACCTTTTGGTTACCACTATGTGAACGATATGGTTTCGCCATCTGCCTGCGGCCGCTATGTTGGTCGGACGTGCCGTGTGCTAGCCGCTGTTCTGTGGGTCGGACTGTGTGTGACGCTGGCCACGCTGCCAGCTCGTCCCGATCGTTTCCTCACGTATTTCTGGGTAGCTGGCATCGGTACCGGCTTATACTGTGCAGTTGGTGTTCCAGTACATCTCGTGTTGGTGGGAAGATTACCAGCTTATTGGAGATGGACGTGTCTATTTGTGTTGTGCACATTGGGGTCATGGTTTATATTCTATGGCTTGTGCGCTGTGTTCGTTGCCCTCGGCCGCAAGTTTCCGGCCGTAGCTGCCATTTTGATGCCCATCGCCGTGTCTTCAACGGAAGGTCTGACTGTGAGGGTGCTCGCTTACGGGTATCGCCACTACGCTTACAAGGCGAACGCCTCGGGTGATCAATCCACAATTCTCACCTGCGCATTATCACTGATACACGCGTTCTCTGAAGGGGCACGCTTAGCAGTCGTCATCATGAATACTGTTCGGACGAACACGTACATGTGGGTATTGTCAATTATATGTTCTTTATTGTTGAATTTGGCAACTCGCATGGGATGGACAAGACTTGCTGTCATGCGGCTGCTGCATCTTGTCAAGTCCGGGTCATGGCATATCCTTCGCCCAAGTATGTGCACCCTAGTACACACGCAAGCAAAATTTCAGTTGGGTTATGTACGTTTCACTGCACCACTCGCAATCGGATTCGTGCGTGGCATTCTCAAAGGGCGATCTCCTTTATCCAACTCTTCAGCAGTCTTGGCGGTGGGTTTCGTTTTCATGTTTGAGTTAGTAGAAGATCTCATTGTTTGGAATGAGTGGCTTCCATATGCTAAGCCATGCGACCATTTCCCAGAATATTATACATGGTATCGTAACATTGGTCGCTTCGATCCCCTCCAAAGCTACACCATCACTTCAAAGCCACACTCCGGCACGTCATTCGATGATGTCCAGGCCAGCAGTCTCTCAGTTGAGCCCGCTCCTGAGGAGGTGGTGAGTCGTCCATTGCCGCTTCATGGAGCACGCCGCCTGAGCTTCACGATGCATGTCATCGCCGTGGCGCCCGCAGCCCTGTTTATTCTCTGCGCTCTGCAGCTGTTTCTCGGAGCTGGCTATGTCAGTGGGCGTTGCGAGAGCCCTCTTGATGATATATTGTCCCAAGCCTTTCTAGTGGCCATGCATGCGCCGTGCTAATAAGTCTGCGCTATTCTTGTCTTCAGGTAGTGGTCGCCAACGTCTCCTTCTTCGTCGCCTCTTTGCGGGCATCACTTTCATCCTTGGCGTTTCCTTGCCCCTGCTCGGCCGGCGTGGAACATAAGGCACAACACACACAAGCTTTTGGAGGTCCGCCGCGACGTAACGATGCATTAGTTCTCTCCCTGTCGTCCCTTCCTCCTCGCCCACCTTGTCCTCTTTCTCCTTGCTAGGCGCCTTGAGGAGAACACAGGTTGGCGCGGGCATGCCAGTGGAGTGTCGGGCTGTACCCTGTGGCACGCCAAAGCCGGCTTGGGTTTTCTTGTCCACCTGTATTGTCCATTCAGTTCTTTGCTGGGCGCCTTTGCAGAGTGTCACCCTCAGTGCGTTTCACACTACACTGATCAATTGTCCTGTCCAGCGCACTGCCGGGGAGGAGGACCCGCGGACCCGCGCCACCTCCCTGCGGCCGCTGTTCTCTGTTCTTGTAAACTATATGTATAGCTACAAGAGTCAGCGATGAGGTGTATATGTTCCTGTTCCTATATTTTTACAAGCCCGGGCGGGGGGGAAACCCATCACCCCCCCCCCAAACCGGACTCCCGGGATCTGGATCTGGGGCTCTGGGACCCTTCGGACGGGCCTCGAAGCGGCCTTCCGGGCCTCGCAGGGCGTTTTGCCAAGCCTTCGCAGCACACCTAGGGCGATCAGGAGGGTCATCGGCGACGTCTCAGAGAACCCCAGGACAGCACAAGAGCGCTCCAAGACATACCCCGAAAGATCGTTCCAAAACGTACCAAGAGGCCTCCAAGACCACCCCCAAGAAGGCCCCAAGAGGGAATAATCATAGATTTAATGAAAGTTTTTGGTGAATTTCGGGTTCTCCTCTTTTCGGCTTCCCGACGCTTCAAGACAGCGGTCTTCTGGGCGTCCGAAGTCGCCTGGGAGGCTCCAAAATCGCCCCGCAACCACCCGAAAGGGCTTCCAGGCAGTCTACGAGAGCCCCAGAACGGCACAACAGGGATGCAAAATTGACCTAAGAGAGCCCCATGGCGGCCCAAGATGGACCCAAGACATCCTCCGAAGCATTCCAAATCGTGACCGGGGCATTCAGGGAGACTGCGGTTAGAGGCAGGTTGGCCTTAGGAAGCCCCAGAGGCCCCCAGAACACGCCCAGAAGGCCTCCAGAAGGCTTTAAGAAAGCCTGGGAACTTTGGTGAGGCCCCCAGAGGCTCTTCAAGGAGGAGCCTCCGCAAAAAGAGTTGAGGAGGATGGGGAGACTACCCAGGGTATGGCGAGAATGAGGAAAAACAAGCATGGAGGAGGGATAACGAACAACATTATTATAACGGCGATGTCAGAAAAGGCAACAAGGAGTTGTCGCAAAATTGTCCATTGCAGGCCAGGGCCGGCGCCGCTATCCTGGGGAATTTCTGGAATTTCTGGTATTTCTGGAATTTCTGGGATTTCTGGAATTTTTGGATTTTTTGGGAATTTCTGGAATTTCTGGAATTTCTGGGATTTCTTTCTTTGAAGTGTGCGTTGCCAGGAGGCCCCAGGAGGCGCCAGGAGGCCCCCGCAACTCGGAGCTCTGAGACGCCGCGCTCGAGGTGGTCCGGCCCGTTTCGCCTGACACTTCCTCGCACCACGTTTGCCCGAGAAATCGTCGCAACTCTGGGTTCCGAGATGCCGCGTGCGAGGTGGTCCAGCCCGTTACGCTGGAGACATCCTCGCAACTCTAGGCTCCGAGATGCCGTTCGGGACGAAGAGGAGGTCGAGGAGGAGGAGGAAGAGGAGGAGAAGGAGAAGGAGATGGAAGGGAGAAGGAGGAGGCGCATGATGTGCATGAGGGAGCAGGCAGGAGGAGGGGGAGGAGGAGGAGGAGGAGGAGGAGGAGGAGGGAGAAGGAAGGGAGTTGCAGGAGAGGACCTAACGGGAAGCGAGTGCGATGTGGACTTGTCAAAACGTGTGCGAAAGATTGTCCGGCCCGTTTCGTTTGAGACATCCTTCCAATACTGAGCTCCAAGATGTCGCTCGCGAGGTGGTCCGGCCCGTTTCGATTGAGCCATCCTCGCAATGCGAGGCTGGAAGATGTTGCGCGCGAGATGGTCTGGCCCATTCTGCCTGAGACGTTTCGTAGCACAGGAGCTCCAATCACAACCTCTCTCATTCCTTCTCCCGCCTCCCTCTTCCCACTTACCGCCTGGTTCCTCTTCCCTCCTCCCTCCTCCCGCCTCCCGCCTCCCGCTGCTGCGCCTCTGCCTCCGCCTCCCCGTCTCCGCCGTCGTCGTTTCTGCCGCCTCAGCATCCGTCATGCGCGCACTGCCTTCCGCCCTCCCCAGACGTCCGACGTCATGATTTTTCTTTTGAGACGTGCGCCGCGTACCTCTCGATATCATCCCCGAGGGAACCATCACGACATGTCCCCCCGCTTCCGCGCCCTCCCCCGCTTCCTCTTAAAGTTGCTTCTGAGTTCACAGCATGGCGGTGGAGCCTCTCACAGTGCCGTCCCGACAGCTTACTCGTCGACCAGGTGCGACCTGGGACATCCTCGCAACTCTGGGCTCCGAGACAGGGTTCCCCAAACAGGATTTTTATGTACCTTTTAGCGACGTCTCAAAACGTGCCGGAGGAGGAGGAGGAGGAGGAGGAGGAGGAGGAGGAGGAGGAGGGAGCAGGCATGAGGAGGAGGAGGAGGAGGAGGAGGAGGAGGAGGACGAGAAGGAGGATGAGGAGGAGGAGGAGGAGGAGGAGGGATGAGGAATGGAGTTGCATGAGAGGGCTTAACGGGAGTCGAGAGGTAGAACGGCCCGTTTCGCTTGGGGCATCCTTCGAATACTGAGCTCCGAGATGCCGCACGCGAGGTGGTCCAGCCCGTTTCTCCCGAGCCATCCTCACAATGCGAAGCTCCGAGATGCCGCCATGCGCGCCCTGCCTTCCGCCCTCCGCAGACATCCGACGTCACGATTTTTGTTTCGAGACGGGCGCCCGCGGACTTCTCGATCTCATCCCAACCGTCTTTCCGTCAAGGTTCTTTCTTATGACACCCGCGACGTCCTTCAAGAGCCTCCAGAGTCTCGGAGGATAGGGACCGTGCACAGCTGGCTCGTGAGGCGGCCACGGGCGATGTGCCAGTCCGAGTGGGACTCGTCTGACGATCTCTCCCTCTCTCTGTCTCTGTCTGTGACTCGGTGGAGGTAGGGGGGGAAGTTGAGATAGACAGGAGAGCGACGCGTTATCCGTTGCAATCGGGGCCGAAATCTCCACCACGATCTCCGCCGCGATCCGGGTGCCAAATTTCAACCGCGGTCTTCATTGCGATCCAAGCGATCCATGCCAAAACCTCCACGGCGATCCCCGCCGAGATCCATGCGAAAATATCCACGGCGATCTCCATTGCGATCCAGGCCAAAATCTCCTCCCTGATCCAGGCCAAAATCTCTTCTCACGAAATCTCCACATCGATCTGCACGGCGATCCTAGGTCAAAACGTCCACGGCGATGTCAGTAGCTATCCACGCCAATATCTCCACGACGATGGCCGTGGCGATCCATGCGAACATCTCCACGACGATCCCTGCGGCGACCCAGGGCAAAATCTCCACGGCGACCGCCGCTCTGGTTTTTATCCAAATCTCCACGGCGAGCTCAGCTGCGATCCAGCCCCAAATCTCCACGGGCCCCCCGATGCTATCAAAACCAAAATCTCGACGGCGATTTGTGCCGCAGTCCAGGCCCAAATCTCCAGGGTGACCTTCGTCGGTCCACACCGAAATCTCCACAGCGATCCCCGCCGCGATCCAAGTACAAAACAACACCATGGCGACTACACCCGCGATCCAGGCCAAATTCTCCACGGCGCTCTCCGCCCTGGTCCATACATAAATCTCCTCGTCGATCTTCGCCGCGATCCAGGCCAAAAAACTAGATGCCGATCACCACCGAGATCCTGGATCAAATGATCACCGCGATCTCCGTCGCGGTCCAGGCCAAAATCTCCACGGCCCCCCCCGCCACGATCCAGCCCCACATCTCTACGGCGACTTTGCCCCCACGATCCAGGCGAAGATCTCCCAAGCGCCCTCCGCTGCGACCCATGCGAGAAACCGTCACGACAACTCAGCCAAACTGCCAAGTCAAAATCTGCCCGGCGATCTCCGTCGCGATCCAAGCCGGATTTTCCACTGCCATCTCCGCGGCGATCTCCGCTGCGATTTCCGCTGCCATCCGATACTTCACCGCGATCTTCGCTGTGAAGTATCCCCAGTATCCCCACGGCTTCACGGCGATCTCCACTGCGATCCAGGCCAAAATCTCCACCGCGATCCCCGCGCCGGTCTTTACCCAAATCTCCTCGTCGATCTCTGCCGTGATCCATGCCAAAATCTCCACGTCGATCTCCACCGAGATCCCAGATCAAACGATCATCACCGCGATTTCCGTTGCGATCCAGGCCAAAATCTCCACCCGGCCCTCCGCTGCTCTGGAGGAGGAGGGGGAGGAGGAGGAGAAGGAACAGAAGGAGGAGGAGGAGGCGGAGGCGGAGGAGGAGGAGGAAGAGGAGGAGGAGGAGGAGGACCGTACATGGACATTATATTCGAACCCTGTGGCCCAAGATGCCCCCCCGAACCCCCCGAAATTCTAGACGCTTCGCGTATCCCCACCAGCCCGTCCAGAAACGACGCCCAGGCGAGTAGAGGGTCGTCCTGAGGGGCTTTTCGGCGTCTTGGGTGCCTCGGGGGGGCCTCTGTGGGCCGTTCGGGATCCTCTTTGGGGCCTCCTGGGGGCCTCTTGGGGCCTCTTGGGGCCATCTTGGGGCCTTTGGGGGCCTCCTGGGCGCTTCTTGGGGCCATGGTTGCCCCTTGGGTGCCTCTGGGGGGTCTCTTGGGGCCTCTTGGGGGTCTCTTGGGGGCCTCCTGGGGGCCTCTTGGGGGGCCTCTTGGGGCCATCTTGGGGCCATCCTGCGGCCTCTTGGGGCATCCTGGGGACCTCTTGCGGCCATCGTGGAGGAAACCGATCAGAGATCGGAAGCCGGGCAAGGGCTGCTAAATCCGTGGCTGCTAAAATCGACCTCCGGGAAGTTGTCTTCGTCCTTCTGGAAAGAAGCCCGTTGACTGTTTCGCGTGCCGCGCCTCATTCCGGGAAGTTGTTTCTTCCTTTCGGGAGGGCCGTTTTAGCAGCCACGGTTTTGGCAGCCCTCGCCCAGCTTCCGAAAAGAAGAGGGGAGCTCTAATTAGCGCTGCCCCTCAGAAGGCCAAAATGGGGCCAAAACCATAGTAAAATCAATGATTTTGGCTTCCTCGCCGAGGCCGTTTTGGACGCTCTGACCGCTCCCCGCCCCTCCTGTCCAGGTCAGTGGGGAGGGGGTAGGGGGAGGGGTAAATCCCTCCCCGAAGGGGAAGAGGGAGGGGTGGAAGAGGAAACGCCTTAAACCACCGACGCCCAGAGGGCTGGTGGGATTGTAAAGATGTGGAAAAAAGGAGAAAGAAGGGGAGGGGGATGACGGAGGAGGAATAATAGGTAGGCGAGGGGGAAGGGGATCCTGGAGAGCTCATATGGCCACTTGGAATCGTCCTGGGACGGTCTCGGAGCGTCTTGGAACATCTTCGGAGCCATCTTGAGGCAGGTTGCGCTATCTTGAGCCAGCCTGTTGGAATCGTTTTGGAGCAGTCTTGGAACGTCTTGAAACATCGTCG